CAAACCAACCAAACAACAAAACAACCCCAAAAACCCAAACCACAGAGTATTTTCAGCATGATTTAGAGGCTCATCTACAAGGATCTTGACTGACTTAATGACGTGGTTGATGCTCACCCGTGTGTGGAATAGGCCCTTGGTGTCTTCATATGCACATTATTTAGGTTAAATAACCTAAACACAATTTAGTCTTGGAGAGTTAAAAAGCAAGAGTTTAAGCTGATGTCTCACAGTTTAAGACAGTAACTACTGAGAAAATAATTCAAGCTATTTCATTATTTTTTTGAGCCTTTTTTTTTTAAGTGAAGCTGTTATGTTTAAATATTTTTAGATGTAAACTTTTGGAAATGTTCTCTGGGAACAGCTTAAAATTAAAAGAGAAAGAAAAAGAAAAAAGGATGCTCAGATAAACCTTGAGAGAAACAAAACATTCAATTCCAAGTCAAAGAAAACATTAATTTTTTTTTTAAGATAAATGAATCATTTTGCTTGATTCCTTACTTAGAAGTTTGGGGTTTGGATCATACAGAATCATATTATTTCCCCTACTCTTTTTCTTTTGGAAGAACCATCAAACCAGAAAAAACCCCCCAGTATTTATATGACTTCATTGAAAAGGTTCACACACTCACAGCTCTTCTGCAGAATACTCTTAGGCAGTGCAAGAATTACCATCAGAATGGGGATGTTAAGTGGAATTAAACAAGATTATGAATTTTGAAGGCAGTTTAAGAAGCTGTAACACAGAAAATCAGTAAAACCATGCCACGGTGACCTTAAGCATATAAATATACCTCAGCAGAACAAATCAGCCTCTTCTGTTACGTGCTGAAGATGAAGTGGGCTCTCTCAAGCCTTTCACAGCCCGAAGAGGCTGACTGAATTAGCAGCTGGTTAGTTTTAATCCAGACAGCTCCGTCAAAAGGGCACCATCAGCTCCATGGCAGGGAAGGAGCTGGGGGAGCCCATGGAGGAAATCAGACCCTGCAGTAACTTCATGTCCCCATGGAAGGTCAGAGCCAGCGACCAGCTGCTGCTAAATTGTTGTGACATAGAATCATTGAAAGTTGTGAGTGGGAAGGGATCCACAAGGATCATCCAGTCCATCTTCTGTCCCTGCACAGGACAATCCCAACATTCACACCATGTCCCTCAGGGCCTTTGCTGCTGGAATCTTGTCAGCCTTGGTGCCATAAGCACCTCCCTGGGGAGCCTGTTCCAGTGCCCCACCACCCTCTGGGTGCCTGAAGAACCTTTT